CACACACACACACACACACACACACACACACACACACACACACACACACACACGAATTACTGAAAACACTTTGGAACAGCTGCTGCCTCACTTAAAAGAGGAATGAAAAAAGAGGAAAATAGTTTCCAGTTATATAGTTATAGTTTCTGTGGTGAGTAATTTACACTGTTTTATTGCAGCTTTAAGGTGTGATGTGATTGTCTTTTATTTTCTTTAAATGAGAGACTCCAAATACAAATGTAACTCTTGTTACTCTCCATACTCCACACATGTGTAGGTTCTCTTTATTGACAGAATGAGACTCAGGTTTACAGAATGACCCATCTGTTCCCAATCTTTCAGCTGGTCCATTGTATCATATGAAGCCACAGCTGTGTGTTTTGCATCACTACTCTGAACAATCAACTATTTTCCCACTAGATGGCACTAAGCTTTCACCGAGTTGGCCCATCGTTTCACTCATACATGGACTCAGTCAGACCTGTCTGCTTGAACACCTCTGCCACCTGTTTGGAGTGCTGCATCTTAGCTGACAGAGCCTCTAAAACATCGTTCTGGTCCACAGCCGTGGCCGTGCGGTAAATGAAAGTCCCCACCGACTCAAGGCCTCGCATGCCCAGATTAATCCCAAAACCTGGAGGATGGACGAGAAAAGATGCAGATGAAACATGCTGACATCTGTGAGAAAACACTTCATTGTTTGTTTAAATAAATGTCTTGTTCTACAGGTGTACCTGTGTCAAAGTTGAGGACTCGTGCAGCCTCGCCCTCCACAATGACGGCGACGTTGTCGCCCTCTATGTAGGCAGCACTGATGCGTCTGTGGGACAGCTGGATCTCAAAGAGACGCCGGCTGCACTGCATGTGGTGCAGCGTCACATCGTTCAGACGAGGTTCTATGTCTGTCTTATAGGCGTTGAAGGACTCGTGAAAAATATTCTTCATTATCTGGAGAATATTAAAAAAAGAGAGAAATGTGAAAATGCATGGTTATGTTCAAGTTGGTTACAATGCTGTGCTTTTTAGCAGCAAAAGAAGTTGAATAATTTGATTTATTCATCCATTTAAATTGTTTAATACAATGCAAAAAAACTCATTAACTCATAAAGTAAGTGTAATTACAAAAATTGGGAAAATTATACAATTTTTAATGAAAAAATGGGTAATTTATGTAGGATGACTACTGATGCTAAAATATAAAATATTAAAACGACGCCCTCTTTCAATTGTCCTTTTTTATATTTGACAAAACAAGGGGTCTTTATCAAGTTTTAAAACATTGTTTTTTAAAACAGATTCAGACAAACCATTACATAAATACACAAAATATTGTATATTTCATTTTTATTTACCAAAAACAAAGCTAATATGCAGAAGCAATAAGTTCTGTACACCCTGTGGCTCAACAGCTTATGGACACCTCTAGAAACAATAATCAATAAAATCCATAAAAAATAAAATAATTATGTTTAATTGAAACTAATGAATCTCTTGTGTTGTTGTCAGTCTTTTTTTTTTTTTTTTTTTGCAATTTTGACAATAACCAAGCTATTATTGCTTCACACTAGACTTTTGATTGCTCATTAGTTTATGGTTGATTATGGCTGCAAAAAGCCCAAACCATAAGTTTCTCGACACAATGCTTAACAGCTGGTGAAAGGATTTTAGAGAAGTTTTTTTTGTTTTAATTAGCCAATTAGCTTAATTTGTCTGGTTCATCTAAACAAAATTATTCCAATGATCTCGTTTAAAAATACTGCAAACCTGTGCCACCACATTATTTTTAAAACGATAACGCTTTTTACATGACAACTCTTCCAAACTCTATTTCAGTCTTTTCAGTCAACATGTAGTTATTATTCTTACTGATGTCTAAGGAGTCTGAAGCTGTTGGGCTTTAAATTGTAGGTTTATAAAAGCTGCTTCTCTCAGATTCTTATTTATGATGATATTGTGTTAACAAACACCTGAAGCTGTCTACCTGCACAGAGGTGGTCACACCTGCTGAGGACCAGTTAATTATGTGCATTTGAGCAGCAGCTGCTGCTCGCAAAATTATTCCAGTGAAATGAGAAACTGCTGTTTGCCTCTCTGAATAAGGTCTCTGCTTTCTCTCTCTCTCTGCTCAACTCTGCTCTTCTTGGACCCACACTTCCACCGTTAACTGTTACCAAGTAACAGAGCTTTTGAATGGCCACCCACGTAGCAACAAGAGCTCCGTGAGCGGTCTCGCTCCGTACCTGTGTGAATTTCAACAACACCGTGCGCCTGGTGCCTGCAGGCTATGCAGGATCAGAGTGGCACTTACCATGAAAATCAAGTGACTTCAAATAAAACACCAACAGCCAAGTAGGTGTGCCAGCTCTAAGAGTTCAGCAGAGGGAAGAATAAAAAACTCTTGCCCTTCATTTGTTCACTGATGTATAACAGCAGATTGCACATTTTTTTGTGCCTCTACACAAGCTTCTGCCTCATCTATTCCCATTTTATCATCGCACACTCTTTTAGGTTCACAAATATACAAAATCCATTATGTCAACCAAAACGGAGCACCTCATGCACACAGAAATAAAAAAAACCAGGTTACACAACCTGACAGAACACTGGATCAAAGTCCACTTTCTTAATAAAAAGTGACAAATATGTTGCTCATCAAAAAAGTTATTCTGAGTTATCAAATAATGCAGTCTGAAAGAGTTTGCTCCAACAGTTTTTCAAACTTGTAATTCTGAAATGCAGTTCAATGTGAACAAAACGCTGGTCATAGGTATGCAAATATGGAAGAATGGGAGAAACACAGCCTCAGAGATGACTTTTAAAATGGAAATATTAAGAGTGAAAAGGCTGTTAAATGTAAAAAAAAAAATCAGCTATCATATATAAAAATGTGGAATCAAGCAGAGTGGGTGAGCACCATTGTAACACAGCAGCTTTTTGCAGAACAGCTATTTCTATTTTCAAGCATTTAGGCTGTTTCAGTAGGTAAACAAATGCACATAATGCATATAAATTGCACCTAAACATTTTTAATTTTGTGACACATTAACTTTTGATATATGTAAAATATTATGTAGGTTTTGTTTGTTAACTTATTTTGACCCAAAAAACAGATGATTGATTCAAGTTTAAAAACTGTGTCTGTTGACTTTTTTTATTAAATCCACAACATTTGTTTTGAGTGTAGATACTCAATGACATCTATACTTAGCACAAAAAGTAAAGAATTTTAGTTCTTTGTTGTAACAATGCTTCTCGGCAATAAAATCTTATAGGCACCTGATTGGCAGCACCTTTAGCTCAAAATATTTGTCAATAGCAATGACAAAAGCTGTTTGGCAGAGTGGTTTTGGCAAATCTTTATGTGTGCAACCCCTACTGCTCATCCCACAACTATACGTTCCTTACAAATGTGGCACAGTTTAAAAGGGAAATTAAGAGACTTTCCAACAGTACAAGATTTATTGCCAAGAAGCCTTGTTACAACAAAGAAATAACCTACCAAATACAATTCCCCTTCGTTTTTGTGCAAAGTTTGTATACATCTGCAGTATGTACCCCTACTCAAATGATCAATAATGCTAGACTGAAAATTCTTACAGAGGAGTTTGCAGTGTGTCTGAGGTAGCGAACCATCTTGGTGTCAGAGGCGGGGCAAACGAGGGCCATGTAGCGGTTCCTGAAGGTTCCGTAGATCTTCAGGTGGAAACCGGACTTGGCTGCTGTGTTTCTGTGCTCTCTGAGGGCCTCCACTCCGTATGCAGACAGGTCAAAGTACAGGCTGTGTGCACGGATCTCAGGCGTGGGCACCTGAAGGTGGCAGTGAAGAGGTAGAAAATTAAAACATTCAAATTGGACAAAATGTACACGTTCAAGCAATTTGATTCTTTTCAAACAGAACGTTGTCAGCTATTTAAAAAAATACAGTTTAGTCAGTTTAGAGTAATTTTTGATGTGTGGAGAAAAGACTGCAGACAGGATGTCACACAAAACAGGTTTGAAAAGAGCTCGATTTTTATTCAGCCGCTCAACTTCGTCGCGACTAATCATTTTCCCTCAAGACAAAATTGATCTTCATTTCAGTGACATGAAACATCCAAGACTGCGATCAAAAACAGCCTTTAGAGCAGAGAGATTTTGAGATATGATGATATTGAGAAGGAGGAGGAGGGACAGTAAGGAGAACCAGGTCATATCCTGGGAGGAAAATTCAATCACTTCAGGAAGCAGCCAGAGAGAACAGTGGCCAATTAAAAACAGCCACACAGCCACCAAAAAGGACGTGATGTGAATGGTTATGGTGGCATAAAACAAGAAGAGAGGCTTGTGATGTTAGCCTGGAGCTTTTCACCAAAACAGTTTGAATTTTTCCACCTAAATAATCCTCTCTTGTCAGTGTAGAATATAAAACAGCAAGCTTTCATCACACTGTTATCAAAAATGATCTGTGCTGTAAATAACATCTGAATATAATTTGAACATCTTCGTCTCCATAGACCAGCAGGAATGTGATGTTTGGTTGTTGGATTATATAAGAAACTTACATCTATAGCGCATATTACTTCATGTCTTATTTTTAAATTTCTCATTAGGAAAATAATAATTAAATCTGCTAATCTCAGTGCATTTTTAGAAACAAGGAGCAGCAGTTAATTTGTCACAATTAAACTGTGACAAATCATGAGTTGGTTCATGGATGGGGCTTTAATGATTCCAAAGCTTTACTGTGGCCTCCATCAGAACAGCAGCTGTCCTTTTCAAACTCAGTTTGACAACATGGAAACAGGTGCCGCTGCTGGTGCTGACGAGACCCAGTGGTCTCCTGAAATCTGGCTGCTCGGATGTGCCGGATGTTGTGTTCAGCTGCTGCGAGACGCCGAGCGTCACTGTTTGCTCAGATTATCTGTATTAGGCAGGCAAATACAGTAAAAGTGCCACCATTAGAGCCTGCTTCATTCTTTACACAAACAGAAACAGGAAGATCATTGTGCTTTGGGATCAGATGCATGATGAAGTGTGCACACGTTCGTGTTTACATCCAGCTATATTTGTCATCCTGATGACATCGCGGGCAAAAAACAAAAGCATTTAGCACAAAAAGTAAGGAAATAAGTGTTTAACAGCGAATTTATTTGTTGTAAAAATTAGTGGTGTAACAACACATCGATACACGTGAATTTATCAATTAAAGGAGACAAATCATGCTTTTAAAGCCTCCTTTTTCACATTTAAATCATTCAGTTGGGGTCTATATAAAGTGGAACTGCAATGCTTTGGTCTGAATTCATCCTTGTTGTAACTCCACAAGCCCCCCTTTTATCCCTTTACTGAGGCGCGTCTGAGATCAACTCGTTTTGATGCTGTCTCTTTAAACCAGGGGTGCCCAAACATTTTCCCTGAGAGGGCCAAAATAAAAATAAAAACATTTTCCCTGATGGGGCCAAAATTAAAATCAATCTGAAGGCCATGGGCCAAACGCAATAATATAAGAAATGCAAATACTTAAGTAAAGTTGTTTTATTTTTATGATTATGCTAGCAGCCAGTGTGGTTGCCCACATTCTTTAGTTGTTTTTTTTTCAGCCCATGGACATGGAGAAAATTCAATGTATGCTCAGGCAGCAAAGGCTTATGGGACTTTTCATAATTTAAAATTTGAGTATATGTGGTCTTGTAAGGTGTGTAAATCTATATATGAGCTTAAATCTAATCTAAATGTCTCTTGTAGTTACTTGTATTTTATATTTAATCTTAACATAATTACAATCTAGTAAGCAGGACAACTGCTGGCGGGCCAAATCAAATGGCTTGGGGGGCCAATCTTGGCCTGCGGACCCCACTTTGGGCACCTCTGCTTTAAACCCTAACAAGGTGCTTCACATCCCGCCCCCCTGCAGTCCATTCTAGGGGTTCCAAGTACACAACAAAATGCATTTAACGGCTGAAAAAGTGGATTTTGAATATGTCTCCACTTAAAATGGGATTTAACTGGTTTTCTAATGTAAAAGACAAAGAAATTCTCTACCAAACATTCCTTTTTCTTTTTTGTGCAAAGTGAATGTAAATAGTGGATGTGTTTCCTGACCTGTCTCTGGTCTAATCTCTCTATACTAGCGTTAGCTCCATAGGCGTGGCAGGACTCCACGATGTAGTCAGGGCTGATCCCCAACACGGAGCAGGAGTCGCCACACGAACCATCAGCCACCACAATTACACGTGGCCATTCTTTGTGTGGAATCCGCTGCAGATATTCCTCTGTAAACTGAAACACACACAGAGAGTATAGTTTAGAACAGTTTCACTTACCTTTTGTGCTGGTTTATCTTCGCAGATGACGTCACGCTGTGTAAGATTATTACTCATGAGGAACAAATAACACCTGAGAAACTGTAAGATGTTTGATGAACTGCCTTTTTTTCCTCATTGGCAAAGAAATTAGTTGTGGATCTTGTTTATACTTTATCAAGAGGTTTGTTTACACTTCCCGTTCCTGCAGCCTGACCAGCGGATATGAGCTCTATTTCTGACACCACCTATTAATCTGCAGGAGGAAGCAGGTGGGTTTTTATTTAAACACATGAGTATAAACAAAATTACAATGGACTTTTGTCAGTTGTGCTTGTATAAACAGCAGCACATCTCTCAGAGAGATTTTCATTACTTTGCTCTGCTGAAGGTTTACTTCCTCTCACCAGCATGAAGTCTGTGTAAAGGAGGAGCAGGAGCTGTCCAAATCACGTTGGAGAACAGCCAAATGGGCTGAGAGAGAGTAGGGAGAATAAAAAGGCCGTGCGGTGGATATAATAGCCAGGATCCTAATAGATCCACGTCTAATCTATTTAGGCCACGTTGCACGGGTGATTTAAATGACCCCTTCTGCATTCTCAGAGCCTTGGAAGGATAAAAGTGTCCGTCATCAAGTCGGCTGTCTCGTCTCATCTAGAGGAAAAGGCAGGCTTGGCATTGACTCTAAGTGAAGCAGAAGTTTGCTGTTATCAAAACCTCTGCTGACCTTGTCTTCCTGCTGACCAAGATTGACAAATCACTGGGAAAAATGGTGGGCAGCAGCTTAGAAACACACACACACACACACACACACACACACACNACACACACACACACACACACACACACACACACACACACACACACACACACACACACACACACACACACACACACACACACACACACACACAAAATCATCTAAGACTGAGTGAAAAAATGTTTCATTCAACAATTAAGAGGGAAAGTGAGAGAAAAGGGCTTTTTTACATTTGAAGTAGAGGTGGGTCCAAAGATGAGTATCGGATCGGATCAATAGTGGGATGAGATTGATGCTTTTGGTTACACTTAATTTGCACTGGTGACTTTATTTCTCACAGAAAACACGAGAAATAAAGAGTTTCCAAACTGCCCGTGTGCTATATATGGAAATTAGTTTTTGTTGTTATATTTATATTTTTACCACATTGTTACTTATTTTTTGTCATTTTTTATGAGTGTCTTTTTTCTTAAATAATTGTTTGTAGTTGAAGATAATAGGGAATAATTTTATTATTTTTTAACTGTTACATTGTTTTATTTTATTGAAGTCAGTTAACACGAAACATTTTTATTTGCCTAAAATCTTTATTTCTTATTTTTATTGACTAATTAAAGACAAAATCACATAATTATTCAATAAACATGACAAGTATTGTGTCAGAATCGGTAATACTATTTACTTGGATCGATACCAAAATTCCTAGTATCGCTCACCCCTATTTGTTCAGTTTTTAAGCCATAGCAAATATTTAAAGTTACTCAGTGTAAGTTATAAAATAAAACAAAAAAGAGTATCCTGAACTAAATCAAATGGGTTCATTTGAAAAAGCTTTCTTAGATGTACAATTCTGAAATGCACTCATTGTAAACAAAGTGTAATCTGCTGTAAAGAACATGGAAGTCTGGGTCACATGACTGGCTGTAGTCAGTAGGTGAACAATAATGGTGGATTCAGACAAATAGAGTCAATAAGAAAACATTTAGAAAGAAAAATGTGTTTGCTGCTAAATGTGAAAGGTAAGAGAAAGGTGGATTATTAAGGTGGCACACAATAAAAGTGGAGCTCAACGTGCTTGGCTTTTGCAATAAGTTTGCTACCAGCAACTTTATTATTTCAAGGTTTAGTTGTTGTTTTTTTCAACTCGACCCTGAACAGCTCTTCCACAGACATCACCACTGATGACAACCAAAACAATCTGTCAGTCGCTGTGGTTGTTTCCTTCCTTTAGGATACATTAACCATCAGTATAAATGAAAAAATTACCATATGATTTTATTTTTTCATTCTTTCTTTATTGACCTTCATTGACATGATCACTGACCTCTAATCATTCCTGTAGTTTTTGTCTCAGTGAGTCATAAACTGAGTTCCAGTCAGAAGGTGGGGGGTTTTATGAAACACGCGGGGAGAGCAATAACATCATATCCTTTGTAATAAAACCAGGATAATTGTTTTGATCATTCGGTGATTAAACTTGTGCTGTAGTTATTGTGTTCCAAAATCAGATGACACAACTCATGCCAGTGTTTAGATTAGAGAAATCCAAAAAAATATCCTACGTGGATAAATAAACTCTTGTGGACTCGAAACGGGATTACATTCAAAATCTACTTTTCTGATGCCGTAATATGTTTGGGTGCAGATTTGTTGGCTGTAATTCTGGCATTTATTTCCCCCACTGACCAGCTGTAAAACCGTGGCAAAGAATTTAGTTTATATAACCGGGTTGTAACTCAGGAGCTTTGCAGAAGATTTGGACACCTCAAACAAAATATGTTGGTGCTTCAGTGTTCAGATGGATTTTTCGGGTTGTGACACAAACATCTGCAGAAGTTTCATTTTATTCATCTTAATTCCTGCTAAAAAGAAGGAGCACCTGTGTTTTCTCTGCCAGCTGCCACTGTAAGGGGATTATGATTTTAAAGCCTAAACTCCAATAATGATCAGATGAATTACTGTGAGCTGTTTTATTTCCCCTTTCTCTGCAAACTCGTTGCATTATTTGCAGAACAGAAGCAGAAAGAAAATGAATGGGTTTGATGAAAATGACAGAACCAAATATTATAATTTGCTTTGATATTTTTAGGCATCACTATTAGACTGATCTGAGTGAAGAAGTCTAACCTTGGTCCCCAGCTGCACTTTGACTTCCACCTTCTGCTTCTTCTGCTCCAGGATGCTCAGCAGGTACTCCTGAAACACGCCGATCCTGGTGAAGAAATGCTCGTTGTGCCAGCAGCCCTCCATGTTGTCAAAGTCCACCCCGAGTCCCAGGAGGAAGCTGACGCTGCGGGGATCCAGGGCGATCTGCTGGGGTCGGCAGAGCAGGGCGGTCCGGTACCTCTGGTCCAGCACGGTCAGTTTCAGCACCTTCCCGGAGCGGACAGCGACCAGCGCCGCCGTCAGCCCCACGGGACCCGAACCCACGACGAGCACCGAGATCCGGGCTCTCCACTGCCTGAACCCGTCCAGGCTGACTTTCAGCACCACGTACAGGGCCACCGCCACCAGGGTGCTGAGGGCAGTGTCATAGGCGAGCGCGCGGTACTTCTCCTCCGCGTTTCCCGCGACCTCACCAACTCCTCCGGCGGGTTCCGGCTGCAGCCCGTCCATACCGCCGCGGGAAGCCACGCTGACTGCGTGCCAGATTACCCCCACACCTCCTCAGCGATGGAGCCGACCTGCCTTCATGTGTGCGTTTAGGAGAGAAGCTGGGCTGGGCTTTGCGTCCCCAGTCTGACCAGCAGCGACACGCGCGTCCTCTCTGCTCCCAGCTGCGAGGTGAGTCTCTGCAGCACGACTCCCTCCTCTTCCTCTCTCCCCATGGAAGGTGCGTGTCCAGGGAGGGTCAGCAGGAAATCAGAGAAACGCTCATGAGTCATTGTTTTCCCTTTTAGTGAATTTATGAACCGAGTTGAAAACATGCCTCAGACGCAAACCAGTGTTATTCTGTGAGAAACTGATTTAGTGTTTCTATTAGGCAAACACGATCTTTTATTTTGTGTTTTATTGTCTGGTTTATTCCCCTTTTGGTTGTGCTTTATGTTTAGCGCTGCTTCTGGTGTTTTGATCTGTGCCTTCAGTCATTTCTCCTCCGTCAGTCCACCACAGCTGCAGCCATTTCTCTCATCAGCCACAGCTCTTTTAGTTCCTCGGCTTCACTTCACTCGCCAGCTGTGCATTTTCCATGCCACGTCCTGTTTACATTGTACCTCTTTGGGTCTCTTCCTGGCTATTTGTGCAAATTTTCAGTTTTCTTTTTTTATTTCTAACTTTTGCAGCCTCATATATTTTGTTTGGTTTTATAACAAATTGAAGTTTTATCAAGCAGCATTCATTGGTCCGACTTCCCAGACAATCATGAGCATATTTGTGATGTAAAAAGAAATTGCTCTCAAAAGCATTGTAAGTGTTAAACATCCAGTTAATGTTGTCAGATAGAAAATTTTGTCCAATCTAAATAGACCAGACTCTGGTTGAATATTTTCTGGAAATTCAGCTGTGGGTTTTTTTTACCACTTGCTCACACTGATATCAATGCATCGTATGCATCAGCTTTGGCATTTTAACAAATCCTGTGACCTTTAAGCCCTGCTAATAAAATGTACACTTGAGAATGAAGATGAGATGTGACTCTGGAAACAAACCAAAGGTTTTTACGGTTTGTTTCTGACTTTAAAAACAAAACATAGTGCTATTCACTCATAGCCTAAATCTGTTTACACTGCCAATGATCCAGAAAAGAAGTGATGGGAGGACAACAAACAGAAAAGGAGTGACATATTGGAGTGACACACTACACCTCCACCAGTAATTGTTTTTCACCTCTACGCCTGGCAAATATCACGAGAAATAGAGCTCCAACGACAGGCATCAACACCGCTAAAGTTAAGTTCTGTCATTGTTAGATAAACATGAAAAAATTTAATAATCTGAAAACATGAGACAAACTGAAAAAATAAATAACAGAGAATTTGAATTTAACAAAAATTCTAATGTAAATGACCCCATAAAACAGTGATGAAAGGACTCAACAACTAACTAGATAATTTGCAAAAATGCTGTGTGAAATTAATGCTGAAAGATTTTTGATGAAAAAAAACCTGAAGCATAATAATAAGCTTAAACAAACAAAGAGCACATTTGCCAAATTATATAAGTCAGATGCTGAAACTATCACAAAAGGTACATTTAGCTGAAAAAAAGCTTAAAATAGTTAAAAAGTAGCTAAAACACAGAACAACTAAAATTGGCAGAAAGCAGCTGATAGAAGCATTAAAAAGTTTAAATTAGTGGAAGAACAGTGAAAGTCAAAATGATAGATAAAAACTGAAAAGGCTCAAATCTGCAAAATAAAGGTTGAAAGAAGCCAAAATTAACAAAGAAACAAAAAAAATCTAATTTTTGCCAATCTAAACAGTAAGAATCCAACATTATCACAAAAGGTGAATTTTGATGAAAAAGGTCAAATTAGCTAAAGACACAGAAAACATTTGAAAAAAGCATAAACTTAAAATAGTACAAAAAAGCTGAAATTAGAAATAGTCTAAATGATATATAAAACAACAGAAAAAAGCTGAAATCAGGAAAAAATGGTGAAAATATAGCACTAAGAAGTAAAAAACAAGCAGAATCAGAACAAAAATGCAGTAAAGATTTGTAAGTATTTTGAAGGGTTTTAAGGACGTTGAAAACAGTTCCATTTGTTTTCAATGAGGAAAAACATGGCTGAAAAAGCTAAATATGTATAAATTGCTAAAATACCATAAAATATAGTCAGAATTCCCTGGAGCTACACGTTTTGATTTAAAAATTATTGAAATTGCACAAACGTTGCGAATGAGATACGTGACAAAAAAATGGACAAAAGAAAAACTGATCTCAGTGTGAGTACTTTATAAGCATTCACTCATTAAAATAGTTGTTAAGTATCTCACTTTGTGTTCCACTAAAAACAGTTTTGCTTTGGTTTCCACGTTGTCATGGTGATATATGCAGCTACAGGAGTGATGGGGATAATCCCTTCCTGAAATCTGGGGATTTGAATGAGTTCATCACACTGAGTGGATGTCTTCCTCTGACAGCAGTGAATAAAAGGAACTCAGAGAGCAGGTTTTATCAGCTTTCTCACATCTTATGGCCACTAATGGGGTTGTGTACAGATCTGAGGTCATTAGAGGCAGAAAAAAAAAAAACTTCCCTGAACATAATGAACACAGATCCTCTTGTTGTCAGGGAGTTGTGTTTGGATCCCCACAGAGGGCCACTGGCAACAAACTGGGATCAGGCCACCAAATTGTTTGCAGTCTTTTCAAGCTATAATGGTTTGAACAAAGTGAAGTGAAATTAAGATGATCAAAATAACAATGACTTAACATGGATCAGTAAATTGGGTTTTGACGCCACACAAAAGGATGTTTTTTCTGCCGCTCCTCTGCAGTTAGTGAACATGCACGAGATTTGGCAATCATTTTACACTGGGTGCCCTTCCTGATGCAACCTGAAGAAAATGACAAAACCAACGCAGACCACCAAGATACCACTGCCCCCAATAAAAAGGGGAATTTGGGGAATAAAAATAATCCAACAGGACACTGGATCCTAAAAGTTCATGTATATTTCTGGATGTTCGACATTGTTTTAACAAAACATCACACAAAAGTGTTGATATATCCAGAGTTTGTTCTAGGAATCCCAACTCATGGTCGACGTTTTCCACTGAACACCAAGCATTTCTCATTAGACCAACGTTTCAAGGCCTTCACAAACATCCCTGATGAGAGCGCCACATCTGACTGAACTGGACTGAAGCCAAAATAATTACCTCCCGACTCAAGGACAGGTGGGTGGAAGCCTTCGTGAATGAATGCACTGACCCCTGATAAGACCGTTTCGTTTACATCAAACACTTTTCCACAGCAACTCTTTAAAAGAAAAAAAAAAGGAAACTGTGTTTCTTTGCTGTGGTTAAGCTGTGGATGCTGGGAGTTCAGAGAGAAAAAAAAAATCAAACACTAGCTCAGTGTGTTTGCTCTGCCAACTGTCAACCTGCCCAGAGCCTCTGGTTACGTGTTCAGAACCGACAGACTGGAACTGCGGTGACGTAGACTCAGGCGGCCAAGAACATACTATCACCACAAGGAGCGGAGCAGATCACCATGGTTACACGGTGTAATAAGGTCAGTGTGTGACGCTGGATGTTAGTCTTAAAACTACTAAAAGGTTTCTCAACAGTCACTTATTGGGATTCTAGCCATGCTGAATGTCATGGCTATAAAAAGGACACAAAGTCTTTAATTAGATACTCACAACTGATTAATGTGTCACAAGGTAATACATTTTCACTGAAGCATGATGTGGTGAGTCTTTTATTACTTCCAAAAACAAAATAAACGATGATTTAAATAGTCCTATTCAGCAGAACCAGCTGCACCAGAGTGAAAATCTTTTGAGTCACACAAGAAACTAAAGAGTGAAACCACTTTAAGCAAGAAGCAGGTACAGTAAAACCACACTCACCTCACCAAAATGGTTAAAAAAATGCTTTTCATGTGTGTTGAAAATGTGCGTAGAAATGAATCCGAAGTAAATGTATTTGTCATTTATTTACATCAAATTTGAGCTCATGCAGGTGCAATAAAACTTACACTTCGTCTTTCATGAACTGACATTCTGCCTACAACATAAAAAAACTAGAAAATTTGAGTTGGGACTTTTTGTAAGGAATTATTTGTTTAAAGCTTAAAAAAGACAACTATGATTGAAATTCTGTTTTATACATCAAATTAGCTGAAACATTAACCAAGACATATTTTATGATCACCAATTGTTTTTCAGTTGAATCCAAGACTTTGACTGTATATTACAATCCTCACTCACACCAGTGTTTAATTGTACAATCCTCCTATAACAACAACTCCAAGAGAAATCTGTGTACAAGAGTTTAAAACTTTCCGTCTCATCTCTGATAAACCTGTAGCAAAAATGAGCTGGTTGAAGGAAAAAAGACATTTGATCCCAAAGTCTTGTTCTCATGTAAAAAAAAATGCACTTGTTAAAGAGCGTTGTACTCTACACACTTTGATGGGTCGGTTGAGAAGTGTTTCTGGCAGATGGTCATTAGCCTCTTCAGTCCCTAAGAGAACAATAAATAAATAAATAAATAAATAAATAAATAAATAAATAAATAAATAAATAAATAAATAAACATGTTTAAAGTACTTGTGACATTCAACTTTTGTAATAAATATGAATTCATTTTTGGGAAAATAACATAGAAAACAAGTTGCAAAAAATACACAGCTAAGATGAAGAGTTGTTGAAATACAGCAACAGGAAGTGATGTCAAAAGGGGAATATCTGAATGTGAACAGAGCAGTGCTCCAATGGTTAACAACACAAACTGTAGAGGAGAATCTGACGTTATTTAGATTATTTTGAGTCACAATCAGAGAGAGATGAAGAATCGGGGTTCAAATAATATTGTAAAAAAGCCCAGATTGTTCCTTTTATTAAAGAGACCTCCTTTGATGTCACTTCCTGTTTCACTTTGGCTGAGCCAAATTCAAAGAAAATATAACAGCTATGCAACAAAATGGATACAATTGTGTGTATTATGTCAAGTTTCTTAATTATTTTTTTTATTTTTTGTAATTGAAGGCTACGTATGTGTCAGACACTTTGAAGTTAACATAAAATATAAAAAGCAATGTGCAAGTATTTTATCATTTTTAAAAGACAAAAAATAGCAGCACTTAATTAGATTTATTAAATAAATAAATCATGTTTTGTTTTGTTTTTTTTGTTTTTTGTTTTTGTTTTTTTGCTTCCGGAAATCTACTTGGGTTATTAAAAGTCACAACAACTTATAAAATTAAAGTGGTTAAAAAAGATATAAATAATATAAAAAAATATGTAAATAAACATACAAATGTCTTCACTGTGCATTTCAGATTTGTTTATGTGGCTCACTTCACCACATAAAACAGGCCACTTTAAAAATTTACAAATGTCTACAAATGTTTCTGTCAGGCTTTTTGACCAAATCAGGTTCTGAATGTTTCTTACTGAAATTATGATTCTGTTTGCAATATTACAAAATATTACTGGTTTTATTTTCTGAAGAACCTTCAGCTAAACAAGCAATCTTGACCTAAAGTGACTCACCTGAATATATTTTCTTTGTGTCTCATCATTGAGGACGTGAGCCACGTGTTTGGAGAAGATCTTTTCTCGTCCAGTACGAGCGTGGATTCCCACCATGGTCACACCGATGGGCCAGGGAGCATTACCGATGGCCATCTGTAGATATGCATCATTTGCCTGAAATCAAAATGCACAAAACTGTTAAACATGCAGTGATACATTTATAAAATATTTAAAAAGCTATGCATTATACAAACCTTCACATATTCTCTCTCCAGCATGAATTTAATGATGTCTGTGATTGATTCTTTAATGTCAGCTGGTAAATTCTGGAGAAAAAAAAAAGATTAATCAGAAAGAAAAGAAGAAATCCACTCGTTATTGCTTTGTACAACAGTCTGTTATAAATGATATTTCTTGAAACTTTACCTTCTTTCTGAGCTTTTTAAAGAGAGGCTCGAGATAAGACTCGGTCTGTGAGTGCGTTGCACTGGCCAGCTTTCCCTGAACGCTGCGTTTCACGTGGTCTTCTCGACTGTTCAGATCTTTGGCCCAAACACCAAGAAGAAACTACAGCCCGAATGAAAAAAAAGGCTTTAAAAAAGTCTTTGCAACAAATATTAAAACACGCTAAGATTACTGCTTCCCACCAGGTGGTGTTAAAAAAATGAAAGTTAAATACTGAATTATTTAATGATAAAGTAGTTCATTAAATACTAATATAAATTACTGCAGTAAATAAAGGAGAAAAAAACTTAACAGCAGTAACAACCCTAGCATAAACGTTTATCCAACAGCTCCCTCTAGATATAAAGTGAAGCACTGTCTTCTTGCTTTACCCTTAAAAATTTGGCGATTACATCCTGATCTCCACTGTCGTCTCCTGTACCCAAGGTTTTTCCAAGAGCCTGGAGAGGAATTTTAAATACAAACGTTTTTCAAGGTTTTGATAAGAAACTAAAACAAAACTGAGCTGAATGAAACTTTTGGTTTTGTTTTGTTTTTACTGAGCAGTGTACCTCAAGCTCCTCTATGGTGGTGTTTTCTTCATGAACTTTCAGGTCATGCTGCGTGTCCACGTCCCCGGACTCTGTCGCTCCAACTATCTCATTCAGATACTGCTGGTCGATCTTATCCATGGCAGCTTTCAGGTCATTTCTCAATCCCTTGACACAGAAAAAAAAAAAAAAAAAAAAAAAAAAACAATGAGCAACATTAGCATTTCCTTATCTTGAGCTTTTTTAAAATGTAAGCTCAAAAAATGGTAATTGCTTTACATTTGAAAGTGAGTCTTCTAGATTATTTTTTAAATGTTTCAGTTTCTTCTTAATTTATGAATCTGCAATAGGCATGATTCACGTTACTCAAAAACCTGTTCAGTCCTACCTTGTTTACTTCTGGGGTCAGGATCTCAATTTTCCTCAATCTCTGAAAAGCATCATAATCAGACTCTCCAAACAAACGAATCGGTTCCCCTCGTTCTCGAAGCCGTCGAATAACCTGCATAAACAAAAAAATGCATAAATAATAAACAGGTAATCCCCAAATTAAAAACAACTGACAGAAAAGTGATGATTTTTCTTTATGTGCTCACCTCTTGTCGTGACAGCGTCATTGGCAGTTTCTCCTCTGTTAGCTCCAGCTCCAACACTGGGTTAGTTGAAGTGGATGGTTCATTTTCTACCTTTTTATCAATCTTTAGGAGAACATGAAGGAAAAGAAACATACTAACATTATGGAAGAATGTTGTAGTAAAACAGAAAATTTCATCATGTCAAAATGCCATTTTCTTGCAAAAAAAAGCAAAAATAAAAATCAGGGTATGTGCAAAAAGTGTTGTCTTTATGAGATGTTAGCTTAAACTGAAGATAACACTCATCATTTAACTGCACACATTCACATAGCCAAAATAGCAAAAATTACAAACATCTGATTACTTTTAATAGACGTCATTTGAACATTGTTTGCACATTCAAAAATCTCATTGCAAGAAAAAAAAAACATGTCCAGTAAAACTTTAAGGAAGAAAACTGAAAACGTGGTACCAGAACATGCATTGGGGACACATGCATCACAGCACTTTCAGGTAGTAGTTTCAGAAGCACAGTCTAAAAGACCAACTATAAAATCCCCCAAAACACATTTCCTGTCTAAATAAACATAACACAGGTATACTAAAATATTGGTTTTTTTGTGTTTAAAGTTTTGAAAACCCTTGAAGAACGCTTTCTTTTTTAGGGAAACTTCTTTAAAACACAGTGTCAACTAATGACAAACATTTGTAGTTGGTCTAAATATTGCTGCTTCTGTCACAAATAAACTGCAAAAATAAAGAGAAAGGTTTTTTTAATGTGTTTCTTTTAGCTCAGTACGCCATGCTGAAATTCATAGCGTGTCTGTGTCTCACTTCAGCTTGGTTGCTTCATTTCCTTGTTGCCCTGTCTTTTTAAAAATGCAGCAAATAATTTGGATTTACTTTTTGTGAAACAAGTAAACTAATAGTTTTTAATGGAGCTTAAAATAATGTGTTGTAGGAAACACAGAACGGCTCGATAAATTCCTCCACCTTCTGAAGGCAAGTGAAATTCAACATATTTATGCTTTTATGTAATAACATCAATTATTTGCATTAAAAAATACACTTTAATTACCTTAAACCAACTAAACTTACTTTCCACACAAGGTAGAAGTCACTTGGTATTTCTTCAATAGCCAGTGAGTTTTAATGCAACCAAACTGGCTCTGTAAATATTACTTACAAAACGAATAGTGTTTATTTAATCATTTGGCACAATAACGTTAACCTATAATGAATAAAAACCCAGTGGAAATAATAAGTAAAAATAACTCTAAATAATTTGATGAATATTGGACAGGATGCCAAGGAAGTGGAAGCTTGTAAGACAATGTGTTTCCTTTCGTCATGCAACCTGTTTACTGTTTTCACTGAGCAGTCCCATACCTGGCTTTCAGGGGTCACTGTCTGAACCTACAGGTGCAGGCAGCAGAGGCAATTTGCAGAAAAACAGCACAATAAACACTACTGTAGACCCGAGGATAAGTTCATGGCCTTATTTAGTTTTATAGCAAAAGGTAAACTGTGTAAATACTGTGTAATTTCTATAGTTACATTAAAGACAAAAATGCAACAACAAATATCAGGATGTATTGGAGTGTGTTAGACAAAGTGAAAAAGAAAGAATGTTGACATCAACCTTATAGCCACATCTTTTGAAGTATTCTTCTTTTTCCTTGCGTGCAAGATCTGCCCTTTTGAAGTATTTTCTGGAATCCTGAAGAGAAACAGAACATTGACTTGTGTTACACTTTGAAAAAAACTTCATGTACATCAAAATGAGAATATTCTACCCAAGGAAAAGTCATTGGTGTCCCAAGACAGGCACTAGCACACTTTCACAGTACATTTTTTCTTCTCTTTCAAACAAACAATAATCAAATAACTTCGCTAGTCAATAAAAACTATTCACATAATGAATAGTTAGTGGGTTTGATTAAGAATTAAATTAGAAAATTGTACATAACTTTGTTTGTTTGTTAGACATCGTGACAGAAATCAAGAGAATTCCCATCTGGTAAATACTTCTGGATTTTACCCAATGTTTTCTCAGGGAACAAACGTAAACACATCGCAGCTGTTTCGTAAACTCATAACTGAAGTCTGTTTAATCGTATTACGATAACCAGGTGTCTTTATGTGCAAAATGGCTACCACTAAACCTATACAGCTTTTAATAAAGTTGTGGAGGGAAAAAAACGATTATTCTAAAAAGAAAGTGTTCACTACAACAACAGCTAGCAGACTAGCTCCACAGACTAGCTAGCTAACAAAGCTAAGTTGTTAAGCGACCATAAACAACCAAAACAACAAAATGCTCACGTCAATAAGCTCTTTTTCCTCAAGAACTTTTCTCTTTCTTGCTATCTCGGCTTTAAGTATATCCATTTTGGGACAGTAACGCCGTATGTTTGTTGTATTGTGGCGAATATGTGGACAGTGTGCTGCCACCGGAAATAGGTTTAAGATCCTCGGTGGTTTACTTCCTTTTTGTTTCAAAATAAAAGCGCGACAAGTCAAATGATGAAATACTACGAAAGACGTAGCTGTCAGAAACTTTAATAGAAATAAACAGAACGAGACTCTAAAATGTTTATTTTAAGACAGGAGACAATTTACCAAAGTTCCTGATAGAAAAAACAACAGATGATTGCAAAGATACCCTAAGATACGTGTTTGTTGTTGTTTTTACAACCTCCTTATTGGTTCTTGTTGTTGTTGTTGTTGTTGTTGTTGTTGTTGTTGTTGTTGTTGTTGTTGTTGTTGTTGTTGTTGTTGTCGTCGTCGTCGTCGTCATCATCGTTGTCGTCGTCGTCGTCCTTTTGGCCAAAATGGACCATCATAACAATGCATGTAAAATTATTATAAACGTCAATAACAACAACAACAACAACAAGAACCAATAAGGAGGTTGTAAAAACAACAACAAACACGTATCTTAGGGTATCTTTGCAATCATCTGTTGTTTTTTCTATCAGGAACTTTGGTAAATTGTCTCCTGTCTTAAAATAAACATTTTAGAGTCTCGTTCTGTTTATTTC